AGTTTCCTTGGTGCTTATTTTTAGTTCCTGTTCTAGAATTCCAATCACATGTAAAGCTATTCCTCTTGATGATGTCCCACTTGATTCTTAGGGTTTCTTCATTTTTGTTGTTGTTGTTCTTTTTTCTACTTCTTCTTTTAACAGATTAGTATTAAGAGATTTGTCTTTAATCAAGTAATTCCATCTTCCATTGATTCAGTTCTACTCCTTTGTCCTTCTAATATGTTATCTTTTCCAGAAATTTTATTAATCTTTTGGGTTTCTATTGGCTGTTTTTGTATGCCTTCTAATTTTCCACTTATTTTATGAGTTTTTTCTTGCACTGTTTTTAGAATTCTTCTAGAGTTTTGTCTGTGTTTTCCTTGATTGTGTTTCTGTGGTTTCCTCAAACTTTTTCTCAGTTCATTGAAGGCATTGAAATATAATTATTTCAAATTCCTTATCAGGTAGTTCCAAAAGGATTTTTTCATCTGAAGATTTTCTGACCCTCTATTTTGTTCACCTGTTTGAGTCATCTTGTCCTGTTTTTCTGTGTGAGTGACTTGAAGTTGTCTGTCGTCTCCAAGACATTGTATTAATTTATTGATTGTATGTTGGTTTGCTTTACCTTGATTTTTTGTTTTGTTTTAGTATATACAGGCAAAAGATATGTTAAAAGGAGCTCTGGTGGCATAGTAGCTAAGGCATTTTACTGCTAACCAGATGGCTGGTGGTTCAAACCCACCAGCCACTCCTTGGAAAAGTTGGGCAATCTACTTCCATAGTGATACTGCCTCAGAGATCCAAGAAGGGGTTGCTATGAGTTGGATCCGACTCAATGGCAATGAGTTTGGGTTTTTTTGGGGGGTTAGGCAAAAGGGTAGGTGTGTACTCTGGTTGCTAGTTTGGTACCACTGAGGTTCTCACCATCTGTTTCTGGGTGGATTTGGGAGTGGGAATCAGTCTGGGTGCAAGTCTTTGGATTGTGATTGTGCAGAGCAGCTGAGAGCAGGCTGGGTGGAATTGGCCACTGTTTTTGATATAGTTGTGTTGAAGTGGGTGGTGGCCTCACCCAGTGGGTGGGGTATCAGGTGTAGTGGGTGTGGCTGGGTAGGATCACTTGCTCCATATTGCTTGGGGAAGAATGGAAAGAAAAAAAATAATAAAAGTGGGAGAAGAGGAAGAAAGAATACAAAGAGAAAGAAAAAACAAGAAGAGGGACAGGAAAAAGAAAGAAGACAAAAACAATAGGGGGAAGACTGAAGAACTAAGAAGAAGGAAAACAGAAATAAAAGGAAAAAAAAATTTAAATTTTATTGTGCTTTGGGTATAAAGTTACAAAGCAAATTTGTTTTACATTTAACAGTTTATGCACATTTGATTTCACAACCCGATTACCATCCCCAACCATAAAAAACTCTCCTCCCTTCCCATCCCTGTGACTATCCCTCCCTGTGCCCTTCTTAACTATATGCATTCCTATCTGTCCAGCTTTCTCTCCATGTGAGTACTGTCCCTCTGGTGTCTCATGGCTAATGCTCTAAGGTGTGCATCTCCCTAGAGTAGGTGGGTGCATTGTCTTGAGGTAGGTGTTCTTCATCTAGGTCTTTCTACTATTGGACTGAGAACCAATCCATGGGAATGATTCCATTTCTAGGCCAGAAGGGTAACCTGGGGCCCTAGTCTCGGGGGTTCCACCAATCTCTATCTGACCAGTAATTCTGGTCATTTTTGTGTTTTTGAATTTTGTTCCACACTTTTCCTCCCACTCTATTCAAGATCTCCAGTTTTGATCCCTTTCTGAGTGATTGACATTGGTAGCTGGGCACTGTCTCATTCTTCTGGTCTCAGGGTCATGAAGGCTGAGATCTCAATTGACTTAAATTCAAGTTTGCTGGTTCTTTCTTTTGCTTGGTCAAATCTGTTGACCTCCAAATGTGAATTTTTTATTTTACTTTTCAACTCAGAATGTCCATTGGAGGAAAAAAAATTATATCACTTTTTGTTATTCTCTATTTGGTAAGATATTGTTCTCCTACTTTGCTTTAATTCTTTGGATATGGCTTCCTTTAGTTCTTTTAACACATTTAAAATAACTGATTTAAATTCTTTATAGGAGTTCTGGTAGCATAATGCCTAAGGCACTTGACTGCTAACCAGAAGGCTGGTGGTTCAAACCCACCAGCCACTCCTCGGGAGGAAGATGGGGCAATCTACTTCCATAGTGATACTGCCTCAGAAACCCAAGGAGGGGTCGCTATGAGTCGGCAAACAACAACAACAACATTGTTGTTGTTATGTGCCGTAACAACATTAGGCAAATACAATGTCCGTGCTTCCTCAGGAATAATTTCTTTTGATTGCTTACCCTCTATCCCTCCCTTGTGTATAGGCCACACTTTCTTATTTCTTTGCATGTCTCAAAATTTTTTGTTGAAAACTGGACATTTAAAGTAATATCATGTGCCAAGTCTGGAAATTAGTTTCTCTCCCATACCCAGAGTTTGTTGATTTTATTTTGCTGTTTGTTTCTTTAGTGACTTTCCTGAACTAATTCTGTAAAGTCTGTGTTCTTTGTCATGTGTGGCCACTGAAGTCTCTTCTCAGTCAGCTTTGTGGACAGCTAATGATTAGATACAGATTTCCTTAACTTCTTGGAACCAGTAAATCTCCCACCTATGCTTGAGGGGCTCTGTGTACGTGTTGGGCCATACCTTCAGTTCTACTTTAGTTTACTTACTGCTTGCACAGAGGCTCAAAGTTAGTTAAGTGGATGAGTATAAAATTGATTGATACCAAAAAAACCAAACCCACTGCCATTTAAACGGTTCTTACTCATAGAGACCCCATTGGGTTTCCAATGGGGTAAATCTTCATGGAGGCATATTGCCTCATCTTCTGCAGAAAATTGAATAATAGTTTTTAAAAATACAAATGTAATCAATTATACATAAGTAATCAGTTAATACATTTGTCATCTTTATCTGTTATTGTACCTGCACCAAATTGTTTGCTCTTTTCAAGCCCAGTCATTTTCTGCCTCACATACCTAATTTATATGCAAAATATTACTGCTGTCATTGTCTTGACAGTCCCCCACCCCAGTACCTTAGATCTCACAAACACTGTCATGAATGAACCCATGCTGGAAAAACAAAGAGAAACATGAAGTAGCTTTGAGGTTTTAGAGTAACTGTGGTTTCAGAAAGAAAAAAGAAGCTTCCAATAATCAGAGTTAAGCATTTTTTTTCTCTCTCTCAAAATGAAGTTCAAGGACTTTGTGGATCAGAATTACTTGGGATATTATTCTAAATTCAAGTTCCTAGCTCCACCTCAGACATTTTGATTTAGAATACCTGTCTACATATGAAACAATCCCCCCAAGTGATTCTTATACACAGTAATGTGCACATAAGAGAGACTCTTTGGGGAAGATAACCCTTTAGGTGCATTCACAGGAGGGGCTGACCTGATCACAGTGCAAACTTTACTAAAATATTAATCTTCCACTTTCAATGCCTGAATTATTTTTATTTCACTTTGTCATTTGCCTTGATGAAGTTTTTTTTTTTTTTTTTTAAATAGCTGACAGTTTTTAAGAACTACCATTCACTCATACCTTTTCAAAAATTAGTTTATTTGATCAGATTACATTTTTCCTAATAACTGGCCAAGATGACTTGCAATGAGAGAAGAGTTTTTGTATGTTTGTTTTATTTACGCCTTTTTAATTTGAAAGGGGAATATGTACTTTTCATGAGATTCAGTAGGTTTGGGGAGAATAGTTCCATGTGAATTGCTGCAGTCAAAGCCTAGAGAGAAGGTGACACTGGAAAAACGAATGAGCACACTTGTCTATGTCAACATATTGTTCCTGGGCTAGCTGGGAGACCAGGATTGGAGAGGTATTTTTTTCTCCCTTCCTTTTTCAATATTATAAAGAATTCAGGCCAGCACAATTAGTGTTAAAGAATTACATTCATTGTTCTAGGGTTAAATAGGAAGCACTGATGATTCAGCGGTAGAATTCTCACTTTCCATGTGGGAAACCTGGGTTTAACTTCTGGCCAATGCACCTTATGTGCAGCTACCACTCATCTGCCTGTGTAGCAGGTTGCTATGAAGCTGAAAAGCCTAGCCAAATACTTCTGAAAATCAGCCAGTGAAAATCCTATAGAGTACAACAGTCCAATCTGTAACCAATCATAGGGATGGCTCTGGATTGGGGAGTATTTTATTCCATTGTGTATGAGGTTGCCATGAGTCAGCTACTGACTCAATGACAGTTAATAACAACAACAACAAAGGTTAAATAGGGATTTGTGTGTGGGCTAGAGAGCTAATCACTACCTAAATCATAATGTAGAAGATTGTCTTTATGGAAAATGTCTTCAGGTGTTCAAATACCCAACTTCCTCCAAAACTTTGGAGAGTTGCAGATTGAGTCAAATATCAGCTAGACATGTGTAATTTATCTGTGTTAACTGAAATTTGAAGCTGACTACTCCCAATCATCTGTATCCTTTTAGGACATTTCTCCTTGATGAGTTTTGTGTTTAGTTAATACAAACTCAGTGTAGAAAAACAATTAGAGGAGTATAGATCCTTATCAAATTTAATGCATCAAAAAAAGATTTAAAAAACTGTTTGATATTTTAAGATTTTACTGCTTTTGTTTGCCTCTCTTAAAGAGGGTAATCAAGAGATTACTCCCTTCCAGACACCCCACATGTCATACCAAAATAAAAAACAAAAACAAAAACTCACTGCCGTAGAGTCAGATCTGACTCATAGTGACCCCTCCCTGGGTTTCTGAGGCGGTATCACTACAGAAGTAGATTGCCCAGTCTTCCTTCTGAGGAGTGGCTGGTGAGTTTGAACTGCCAGGCTTCTGGTTAGCAGTCACATGCCTTAGGCACTACGCCACCAGAGTTCTTATCTTGTCATAGCTCTCCCAAATTCTACTACAAATGAACAGGCTAATAAACTGCATTTTTTTTTTTTTTTTTATTTCCTTCAAGGTATTGCACAGAGATGCACAGCCATCAAGTACCACTTTTCTCAGCCAATCCGCTTACGAAACATTCCTTTCAATTTGACCAAGACAATACAGCAAGATGAATGGCATCTGCTTCGTAAGTATTTTGAGACAGGGTCAGAGAGGAAATGGTGTCTTTCTGAACAAAAAGTATTCCCATCAGTTCTTTCAGGTTTGGACCAAAAGATGTGCTTATCACATGGGACCCTTGGGCCCAATCAAACTTGGTAAGAGGTTCAGAGGATCATTTCACAGTGATGTGGATACAACTCATTTACAGCCAAATGTGTGAAAATTAGTTACGAGGCTTTGTGATTTAGTGCAGTGTTTGTGTTCATGCTGGTGGTGCCTGTACACAGGCAATCTACTTAACTTTTTTTTTTAACCAAATCATTGGGTATAAGGACATGCCCTACCACTAGTCTTATAAAACCAAGATTATACCTTAGGTGCTCTTATTTTTGTTTTGTTTATACAATATTTATTTTAGCTACCGTGACTTGATATTTCTGCTGAAATATCTTTATAAGCGTATGTCGTAATTTTCTCAGAGGGTATCTCTTACCTGTACATCTCAAAGGTAGGAACTACTCTTTTTCACCACCAGGAAAATATGAAACTCTAGAAAGAATCACACAATGTAAAATTGAAGAGGGCCAATGTTTCCTTGAAAACTGTTGATTCAAGCTGCTTAGTGATAGCTCATGAAAGCAAAAGGCTACACTGAATTATTTTCCATGCTTACCCTAAGCAGAGGTTGACATTGCCATTTTCCAATGAAATAAGCAGCCAAGATTTCAGTGATCTTGTTTGGTAACCAAGGCCACTGCAGAAATTCAAGCAGACTCTCATTTTTTAAGTAAATCCTTTTGCAGATCAATGGAAAAGGCTGTTTTGTATCTCAAACACATAAATAGAAGCTCTTACGATACTGCATTAACAACGGCCTAATATTTGTAAATGTTATGATTGGCAAATTTTGTACTTAAATGTCATTAGCATAAAATGTGGTTCATTTCTTAATAGCCCAGCCTTCTGAAAGTTCTTTCTTGCTGGCTGAATTAAACAATCATTGCTCAGCCCAGCCTTCTGAAAGTTCTTTCTTGCTGGCTGAATTAAACAATCATTGCTCAGCAGATCCAAATTAGATTCTTATGTAAATGTTCTTATGTCTTAATTCTTTATGAGCATTTTTGAAGTTCTTTGCCTTAATGATTTGTTCAGAGAGCCATGTAGTTACCAGCTTTAGTGAGGTGACAAAACATGATCACAGGCTCTTGAGACAAAAACCTTATTGCTTTACTCCAAGAGGTTGTATCCTGTTGTTAGCCAGGAAGACAATAAATATTTGGGTTGTGAAAACGTTTTCCACTTGACTTCAAGGCTGGCAGTTCAGACCCACCTGGCGGTGCCATGGAAAAAAGTCCTGGCAGTCGGTTTCCATAAAGATTGCAGTCAAGGAAACACTCTGTATGGAGCAGTTCTACTCTGTAACACATGAGTTGCCATGAGTTGGAATCAACTTGACAGCAATGAGTACTTTTTATATTTCTTCTTATTATTATTATTCTTATTTTGGGTGAGTTCTCTTTGAAAGACACTTTCAGCAGCCTCAAGCATAGCTCTCTCTAAGAAAGTTACACTTGGTGATCTGTACTATGTCTTCCCTGATGTGTGGTACTAATGTAAATCTCATGTGGATTATATCTGAACTCTGTGCCTTTTAATGGTCACAGAAAATAGAACTATCACTTGAACCACAGGAGATTTGGGAGGTTGTGAGATAATGGTGGCTGAGCTGTTATTACGTTTCCTTGCTCAGATGTGGATGTCTCAAAACTACTTACACCCTTCACATTAAGACCAGCTGCTCTAAATTATCACTGCCCCGACCCCTTGCTCTGTGGTGCCTGCACTTCCTCTTCTAGGCAGAAACTGCAAAGATGCACTGCTTCACTTTGAATGCTCTGTGCTGGCAATGAGAAATCCTCTTTTAATAAGGGATGGTCTGTGTGAGGCTAAGATGCTACAGGTCAGCCTGGAAGCTACAGTCACCTGCCCTCTATGCAGCACTGCTGTGATGCCCAGGAGCCACAGAAATATTGTGTGGTGCCAGCTGCATGGGCATTTCTACCTTAGCAGAGAGGCCCACACTTTCCACAGCAGAGCAAGCCACCCTTTTTTACTTCTTTGTACACACAGGGGTGCATGATTCACATGCATTTGCCCAGACCTGCTGCTTGATGGCAACTGGGTTTGGCTGATTATCTGGCATCAGGTCAGCAGATGTGTATTTGGGATCTTTTTAAAGAAAGACCATAGATATTTAGCAAATAACTTTTTTTTAAGGTTTATTTGGTTCAAAAATAAAAAGTGGAAGAAGAAGGAAGGAAATAGAAAAAAAAAAGAAAGGATAATAGTAGGAGAATAGGACCTAACTGTAGGGCAGCAATCAGAGTGGAAGTATGTCCAGGTAGATGTAGTTGGTCCATTCTTGGTCTTGGCCAGGCATAGTGTGGAGACCAAGTTCCTGGCTTGGTGCACACAATTCTGTTTTTGGAATAGACAAAATCAGCAGTTGGGCATACCATGGTGACTTGACCCATGAGAATAGTCCCTCCCTACCTTCCTACCACTCGTCTGTCAGTTTGTTGTACTGTGGTGGCTTGTGTGTTGCTGTGAGGCTGGACGCTATGCCACTGGTATTTCAAATACCAGTAGGGTCAGCCATGGTGGACAGGTCTCAGTGGAGCTTCCAGACTAAGACAGTCTTGGAAGAAGGAAGGTGTCATCTACTTCTCAAAGAATTGGCCAGTGAAAATCTTATGAATAGCAGTGAAACACTGTCTGAGACAGTATTGGAAAACTTTATGAATAGTCCTGAAACTTTGTCTGAGATAGTGCTGGCAGATGAGCCCCTCGGGTCAGAAGGCACTCAAAATATGATGAGGGAAGAGCTGCCTCCTCAAAGTAGAGTTGACCTTAATAATGTGGATGAAGTAAAGCTTTCGAGATCTCTATTTGCTGATGTAGTATGATTCAAAATGGGAAGAAACAGCTGAAAACATCCATTAATAATTTGAACATTGAATGTACAAAGTATGACTTTAGGAAAATTGGAAGTTGTCAAAAATGAAATGAAATGTATAAATATTGATATCCTAGGAGTTAGTGAGCTGGAATGGACTGGTTTTGGCCATTTTGAATCAGACAATCATATGATCTACTATGCTGGGAATGACAAATTGAAGAGGGATGATGTGGCATTTATCATTAAAAAGAATGTTTCAAGATCTATTCTGAAGTACAATGCTGTCAGAGTTAGGATGATATCCATACATCTACAAGGAAGACCAGTTAATACTACTATTATTTAAATTTATATACTAACCACCACAACCAATGATGAGGAAACTGAATATTTTTACCAACTTCTGCAGTCTGAAATTGACCAAACATGCAATCAAGATGTGTTGGTTATCACTGGTGATTGGAATGCAAAAGTTGGAAACAAAGAAGAATCACTGGTAGTTGGAAAGTATGGCCTTGATGATAGAAATAACACTGGAGATGGCATGATAGAATTTTGCAAGACCAACCACTTATTCATTGCAAATACCTTTTTTCAACAACATAAATAGTGGCTCTACACAGGGACTTGACCAGATGGAGCACACAGGAATCAGATCAACTACATCTGTGGAAAGAGGCAATGGAGAAGCTCAATATCTATAGCCAAAACAAGGCCAGGAGATGACTGTGGAACAGAACATCAACTGTTCATATGCAAGTTCAAACTGAAGCTGAAGACAAATAAAACAAGTCCACTAGATGACCTTGATAATATCCCTTCTGAATTTAGAGACCATCTAAAGAATAGATTTGATGCATTGAACACCAATAACTGAAAGCCAGAGGAATTGTGGGATGACATCAAGAACATCATCCATGAAGAAAGCAAAAGGTCATTAAAAAGACAGGAAAGGAAGAAAAGAACACAATGGATGTCAGAAGAGACTCTGAAACTTGCTCTTGAAAAGAGATTAGCTAATGCAAATGGAAGAAATGATAAGATAAAAGAGCCAAAGAGAAGATTTCAAAGAGTAAATTGAGAAGACAAAGTTAATTGTTATAATGAAATGTACAAAGACCTGGAATTAGAAAATCAAAAGCTAAGAACACATTCAGCATTTCTCAAGCTAAAAGAACTGAAGAAAAAATTCAAACCTCAAGTTGCAATATTGAATGATGCAGGAAACATCAAAAGAAGGTGGACACAAAGTCACTGTACCAAAAAGAATTGGTTGATGTTCATCCATTTCAAGAGGTAGCATATGATCAAGAACCAATGGTACTGAGAAAAGATGTTGAAGCTGCCGCAAAGGAATTGGTGAAAAACAAGAATCCAGGAATTGGTGGAATGCCTGATGAGATGTTTCAAAAAGAGATGCACCGCTGGAGGTACTTATTCATCTATGCCAAGAATTTGAAAGACAGCTACTTGGCCCACTGACTGGAAGATATCCATATTTGTACCCATTCCAAAGAAAGGTGATCCCACAGGATGTGGACATTATAGAACAATATCATTAATATCACATGCAATTAAAATTTTGCTGAAGATAATTAAAAAATAGTTTGAGCAATATATTGACAGGGAACTTCCAGAAATGCAAACTGGATTCAGAAGAGGATGTGGAATGAGAGATGTCATTGATGATGTCAGTTGGATCTTGGCTGAAAGCAAAGAATACCAGAAAGATGTTTAATTGTGTTTTATTGACTATGCAAAGGGATTCGACTGTGTGGATCATAACACATTATGGATAACATTGAGAATAATGGGAATTCCAGAACACTTAATTGTGCTCATGAGGAATCTGTACATAGACAAGGAGGCTGTTGTTCAAACAGAACAAGGAGATACTGCATGGTTTAAAATCAGGAAGGGAGTGTGTCAAGGTTGTATGCTTTCATCATACTTATTCAATCTGTATGCTGAGCAAATAATCTGAGTAGCTGAACTATATGAAGAAGAATGTGGCATCAAGATTGGAGAAAGAGTAATTAACAACCTGCAATATGCAGATGACACAACCTTGCTTGCTGAAAGTGAGAATGACTTGAAGCACTCACTGATAAAGATTAAAGACTACAGTCTGCAGTATGGATTACACCTCAACATGAAGAAAATGAAAATCCTCACAACTGGACCAATAAACAGCATCATGATAAATGGAAAAAGATTGAAGTTGTCAGAGATTTAATATTATTTCCTTCCACCATCAACGCCAATGGAAGCAGCAGTCAAGAAATCAGAAGACATGTTGTACTGCAAAAGACCTCTTTAAAGTGCTGAAGAGCAAAGATGTCTCTTTGAAGACTAAGGTACGCCTAACTCAAGCCATGGTATTTTCAATTGCCTCATATGCATGTGAAGGCCAGACAATGAATAAAGAAGACCGAAGAAGAGTTGATGCTTTTGAGTTGTGATGTTGGTGAAGAATAGTGAAAGTACCATGGATTGCCAGAAGAACTAATGAATTTGTCCTGGAAGAAGTGCAGCTGGAATGCTCCTTGGAACCGAGAATGGCCAGACTTCGTCTGACCTACTTTATACATGTTGTCAGAAGGGACCATTCCTTGGAGAAGGATATCACGCTTGGTAAATGGAGGGTCAACAAAAAAGGGGAAGGCCCTCAACAAGATGTATTGACACAGTGGCTGCAACGATGGGTTCATCAGGTATAGCAAGGACAGTGAGGCTGGTGCAGGACCGGACAGTGTTTCATTCTGTTGTACACAGGGTCACTATGAGTCAGAGCAGACTTGACGGTACCTAGCAACAACAACAATGACAACAGCAACCCTGGGTAAATGGGTGATCAGATGTCAGCCCCATGTTTTGGGGGAGAGGGCATTTATAAGCTGATCCCTCATATCTGTACATTGGGCCGCTGTCTTCTTCATCACAATCACCTATGCTTTCTCAAATCCTTTTTGAAAATAGGTACTTGTTGCTGTTGAGTAGATTGCAGCTCATAGCAACCGTACAGCAAGCCCCATTGGTTTCCAAGGCTGTAAATCTTTACAGAAGCAGACTGTGATATCTTTCTCCCACAGAGAGAAAGATGGCAGATTCAAACAGGCTGGCAGATTCAAACTGCTAACCTTTTGGTTACAGCTCAGTGCATAAGCAATGCATCACCACTGTGTACTCAAGGGATACTTAGATAATATTGTAAATAAGTATAAGTTAATAAGCCCAAGGAGGGCAGATAAATCAAATGATGCTTCTTGGCATCGTCACACTGTTCCTCACTATTAGTCACACTGTTTCAGTCATCTGCTTGTCTGATTCCATACAGCACTGTGGGCCATTGAGGGCAGAGGCTGTGTATGCCATCTCTCAATCTCCAGTGCACAGCACAGCACCTGGTACATAGGTAAGATATCACATAATTGATCATCTAAACTGGGATACCTCAAGAATGAAAACCCAAAACTCATTGCCATTGAACTGATTCCAACTCATAGTGACCCTATAGGACAGAGTAGAACTGGCCAATAAGGTTTTCAAGTCTGTAATCTTTACAGATATAGACTGCCATATCTTTCTCTTTTTGAACCACTAACCTCTTGGTTAGTAGCCAAGTGCTTAACCAGGGCTCAATTAAAAATAGGTAGAAAACAAAAAAACCTAACCAGTTGCCAATGAATTGTTTCTGATTAATGGAGACCCCATGTATTTCAGAGTAGAATTGCTCCATAGGGTTTTCTATTTCAGAAGTAGCTTGCCAGTCCTTTCTCTGAGGTGCCTCTGGATTAAAACCACCAAGTTTTCAGTTAGTAGCTGTGCACTTAAACATTTGTGACACCTAGGGACTTCTGAAAATAGGTAGGCACAATTGTAAATTAAAAATAGAACAGTTGGCATCCATGAGGTTCATGTCAAACTATATTTAAGTATAGCTCACTTTTGAGGCTTTTTTCCTCCAAAGCCAGCTTAACCTACATCTGTACTGCTTTTTCAGGATAACAAAGGAATTTCACAAATACTACCTCACTCTTGGTTTACTAAGTACCTGGCTATTTATTGCCTAAGTTTACCTTGGGGCTGTCCTCTGGTCCATGGAATTCTCTGACCCTTCAATTTGTTATACTTCATTTGCCTTCTTAGGAAATTACCTGAGAAGTGAATTCCTTAAACCACCTTGGCCCTGTAGGCCCTAAGCTCCCCCCTCTCCCCATGTAGCTTATTAATTTCCACAAATGTATACAAAGCTCATCATTCTCTAATTTCCAATAACTTTTCTTCTTTTGCATTCTCTTTCTGTTTTGAGACTAGATTTAAGAAGAATCACTGCTGGTTTCCTGGGCATGGCTGTAGCTGTGTTGCTCTGCGGCTGCATCGTGGCCACGGTCAGTTTCTTCTGGGAGGAGAGCCTGACCCAGCATGTGGCTGGGCTCCTCTTCCTCATGACAGGTAGGCTGAGTGCCTTAGGCTTCCTCTGTGAAGGTGCACACTGCTCTGCCTGTGAGCAGCTTCTCTTTGTCATTTCCCAGTTAAGTTTGCTTTCACTTGTGACAAAAGAAACCAGAAGGTCATTTGGTTTTGGTAGATGATACAGAATTTAAAGAACACTATCCAAAATGCAGCCCTATTTCCCCATCATGGTCTATTAGAAGATTGGATGGAAATGTTTTGGGTAATAACTTACCTATAAGCCAAGATTGTTTCATCCTAGTCTTTCAAAATGTACCCTTAACCATGGCTTGACTCTGGGAAACACAGGCCACTATGTATCAGGATACCTCAAGGAGAGAGAGAGTGACAGATCTGTATGACCTATCTCCCACACTGGAAAGTCAATTCAAAGGACCTATCTTAGTTACAGGAGCTCTGGTAGCATAGTGGCTAAGGCACTTGACTGCTAACCAGAAGGCTGGTGGTTCAAACCCACCAGCCACTCCTCGGAAGGAAGGTTGGGCAATCCTACTTCCGTAGTGATACTGCCTCGGAAACCCAAGGAGGGGTCGCTATGAGTCAGGGCTGACTCGACGGCACATAACAACAACAACAACATCTTAGTTACAGTACTATTTTTACATATGAAACAGTCATTCATTCACTCCACAGATACATCTTGAGGACTTACTGTATACTAGGCATAGCCTTTTTGGTATTACCAGTTGCTGTTCAGTCCACTCCAATTCATGGAGTGTGTGTCAAGAGTAGAATTATGCTCCATTAAAGTTTCAATGGCTAAGCTTTTGGAAGTAGTTCACCAGGCCTCCCTTTGAGGTACCTCTGGATGGAGTCAAACCTCCAACCTTTTGGTTAGCAGCCAAACACTTAACTGTTTCACCACCCAGGGGTTCTTCTCCAGGTACAAGAGACACACAATGAACCAAAAACTAACCCACTGCTAGCAAGTCAATCCCCACTGATATTGACCCTATAGGACAGGGTAGAACTGCCCCTTAGGGTTCTCAAGGCTATGAATCTTTATGGAAGCAGACTGCCTCATCTTTCCCCATGGAATAGACAATGAGTTCAAATCAACAACCTTTTTGTTAGCAGCTCAATGCTTTAACCATAGTGCCACCAGAGCTCCTTATACAATAAACACAACAGACAAAATTCTTGCCTATTCTATTATGGAGAGAGATAAACAATAATAATTATCACAATAATTTGTGATAGTGATAAAAAGCTATGGAGAAAATACACAGAGTGGACTAGGAGACCAAGGAAGGCCTTGCTGAGACAGGGACTTCTGCACTAAACTCTGAGAAGTAGTCAGTACTTTGAAGTGTGCTGCAGGCTGAGAGCACCACATGCGCAGAGCCCTAAGGCAGTGCTGGTTGTGATATTTAAGCCACAGAAAGACCAGTGTGGCTGGTGGGGAGAGAAGGAAAGGATAGCATTGCAGGAGGTGGGAGAAGGAGGCAGAGGCCACATCATTAGGGCCTTCATGGTCATGAGAAACTTGAGTGTTAACCTAAGGGTTATAGAAGCTACTGGAAGGTATTAAGCAGAGAAATGACTTGATCAGAAAGCTGGAGACTGGAGTGGTGGAGTCTTGTTGATTAAGAGCTAAAAGATATTTTTGTCTAAAAAGGTTCTGGTAGCATAGTGCCTAAGGCATTTGACTGCTAACCAGAAGGCTGGCGGTTCAAACCCACCAGCCACTCCTCGGAAGGAAGATGGGGCAATCTACTTCTGTAGTGATACTGCCTCGGAGACCCAAGGAGGGGTCTCTACTCGGGTCCAACTCGACGGCACATAACAATAACAACAACAAAAAGCTATTAGGAGCAAAAGCTGACTGAAGGGCAGGGCAGGGAGGTAATCTTTCTTTCCTCTCCCTCTTCATGGAACATTAATGTTTTAATGATTCTTGATGAGGGTCGTGGTGGTTCAGTGGTACAATTCTCTCCTTCCAGGCAGGACACCAGGCTTTGATTCCTGACCAGTGCACCTCGTGTGCAACCACCACCTGTCAGTGGAGGTGTTGCTATGATGCTGAACAGGTTTCAGCAGAGCTTTCAGACTAAGACAGACTGGGAAGAAAGGCTTTGTGATCTACTTCTGACATTTAGCCAGCGAAAACACTAAAGATCACAGTGGTCCAATCTGCAGCTGGTCATGGGGTTGGCGTATTCTGTTGTGTGTGAGGTAGCCAGGAGCTGGGGGCTGACTGGATGGCAGCTAGCAACAGCAATCAGTGAATGCCCATCTGACAGTTTCACAAAACACACCTGATACCAGAACTAATGTTACCCCAGATATATAACCGTTTTAATAAGCTGATTTCTATTGGAGTTCTGTTACTTATATGGCCAGAACTGAGTTTCAATGGCTGCAGGAGCCCTAGTGGTGCAAAGGTTAAAAACTTGGCTGTTAAACAGGAAGTTGGTGGGTTGAACCCATCCAGCGGCTCCTTGGGAGAAAGCCTATGGGCAGTTCTGCTCTGTTGTATGGGGTTGTGAGTTGGAATTCACTCAACGGCATAACAGCAACAGCAGGACCCTTCTGTGGCTGACACTATTTGCTGTCTGTCTCTCAGGGCTGATAGGTAGGTGGCGCTTTTCCCTCTGGTATAGTCAATCACCCTATGGTGCTAAAGTAATGCAGTGAACAGGCTGGGCCCTTCCTCCTGACACTCACTGGCCCCATTCCCAGTCCATGAAATGACTATAATGGGCAGTGATCCGGAAGATGGGTCATCGTTGCAAGCATCCTGACAGAAAATTCAGAAATTGAGCCTGAATAGTTCTGGGCAGAAAACCAATTTAGTTTTCTAGATTCTGGTGAAGACAGAGTGATTGCATAGCATAGAGAAGCTAAAATTCCAGTTTCTAAGGTTTGAACACTCAAGACCAGCTATTGGGTGCCTGCTTAGAGGATTCATTTACAGTCTAAATCATAACCTAAGTAGGAGAAAGAGGAACACTTAGTGGCAAGGAATAAGAGATGACTTTGCTGCTGCTAACTAGAAAGCTGTTGGTTCAAACCCACCAGCCACTCCTCAGAAGGAGGGTTGGGCAATCTATTTCCATAGTGATACCACCTCAGAAACCCAAGGAGGGGTCACTATGAGTTGGATACGACTCCAAGGCAGTGAGGTTTTTGAGTCCGTCTTAGTCTGGAAGCTCCGCTGAAACCTGTTCACTGTCATAGCTGGCCTCCACTGACAGGTGGGTTATGGCTGCACATGAAGTACATAGGTTGGGAATTGAATCCAGGTCTCTTGCATTGAAGGTAAGAATTCACCACTGAACCACCAGTGCCCTCATCACTAATAATTAAAGCATTATTTATTAATTTTTTCTTGTGATTTGAGCGAAAGTTTACAAAGCAAATTGGTTTTCCATCCAATAATTCATATACATTTTGTATTGTGGCATTGATTGCAATCCTCACAATGTAACAACACTCTTCCCACTTCCTCCCTCTGTTTACTGTTTCCCTTTGTCCTTCTTTCCTATCCCTTCCTGTCTTCTGAGCTTTAACTCTAGGCAAATGCTGCCCTTTTGATCATGTGTGGTTGATTGTTCTAATAATAATACCAGGCAGAAGTGGCCCTGGTACCAGGCACATACCTCCCTGATATTATTGTTCATTTTATAGGCCTGTTGCTTGGCTGAAAGTTGAGCCAAAGGGATGAATTCAGTGCTAGGCTTGAAGGGTGACTAGGCACCATAATCTCAGAGATTTCTCCAGTCTCAACCAGAACAGTAAGCCTGGTCTTTTTTACGATTTGGAGTTTTGTTACACATCGTCCCCCACTGTATCTGGGACCTCTTACTGTGATCCCATTCTGAGTGGTCAACAGTGTAGCCAGGCACCACCTAGTTCTGTGGCTTTAGGGTCGTGGAGGCTGGTGTTCAAGTGCTCCATTAGTCCTTTAGAATAACTCTTTCCTTGAATCCTTGATTTTCTTCTCTCTTCTTTGTTCCAGACAAGGAGAGAACAATAATTGCACCTTAGATGGCCACTCACAAGCTTTTAAGACCCAAAAGCATTAATTTTCTTGTGAAGGGGAGAGGAAGGATAGATTTCTGCCCTCTTTTTCTTCCTTCTCTTTATTAGCTGAGCCCCATTTTCCTGACCCTTATCCCTATAAACATCAATCGAGTACAGAGTGTCTTAAATTCACCCAGCCCCAAAAGTCCCTGCATCATAGTACCTTGTCAGGAAAAACGAGGGCAGCTAGACAAAAGCTTTAGCAGTACCTCTTTAAAAGACACTTTTAATATAGGTAATGCATGAATAACTTAGAATGTTCTTAGCATATAAAACAATTGTTAATATTAAAATAAATCACAGGGACATGAAAGCCAGATCTGGAGACTGTTTCTTGGGAGGCAGAGGTGCTGGCTTGGTTTTAAATGAAAGGAGGGAGGCATTTCCTTTTGGAAACCACAGGAGAGACATTGGAGAGGCACAGAAGAGAGCTGGGAGCCTTATTTCAGGGCCACTTCCGCCTTTTCTTGCAGTCAGTCCTCACATCTGATCCATATGTGGGTAGTAAATTCTGGCTCAGCAGCCCTCAAAAGTTATCATTGAAAGCAGCTATGTCATTGTTAAGTGAACAAATATGAAACAAATAAGAAAAACTACAGCCACAACAACAAAATCCCACAAGAAGCAAAAATAAAGAAAGAAAGGAAGAAAATATTGCAGACATATTAACTTTAACCAAAACGTCCTGAAGGAATGATACAGACATAACATAACATTGTTTTTGCTTTTTGTTGCCCAAACAATGTTACTGGAATAAAGGGAAGATCCACTTAGGATCTTACCACCTGAAAAATTGTGTTGTTTAAAAATTTTCCTTATTCTTGACCAAATCTTGCCCATGAGCTTGACCCATTAAAAAAAAAAAAAAAAAGAAAGAAAAATTATTTATGATTATGGCACAGAAAATATTTCCTTAGTCTTCTGTATGTCCACTCATCATACTTATCGTGAGT